TGTTATTTGGGCTATGTTTTACCCAAGTAGCTCGAGTCATGTTTGATCACCTCGAGTCGTGCAACTAGGCCTCCTTGGTCCAAGATATGACCTTCCACTTGCTTGCTCTTGACGACCATGTCGTCCACGTATGTCTCGATGTTCTTCCTTATTAAGTGAGCAAAGACCTTGTTACTTAGTCTTTGATATGTAGCTCCTGCATTCTTCAAACCGAAGGGCATGACCTAGTAGCAGTAAATGGTTGAGTCTGCCATAAATGAGGTCTTTTATTGATCGTCTTCCAACATGAGAATTTGTGGTACCTAGAGAATACATCCAGAAAAATGTATAATTTATGGCTTGAGGTGCTGTTTACAAGACTATCGATTCACGGTAGGCGATAGCTGTCCTTAGGGCTTTCTTCACAAGAACTTGATTGGCAAGCCAATCAGGATAATGAACTACCCGAATGAAATCTGCCTTTATGAGCTTGGAAATTTCTTCCCGTATGACTTCCATTCGTTCGGGTGCAAACTGTCTCCTTCTCTGCTTTACTGGTCTTGTACTAGGGGTTATGTTGAGCCTGTGTACTGTAACCTCAGGATCTATTCCGGGCATATCTTCAGCGCTCCAAGAAAATACATCAAGGTTGCGGGCTAGGCAGTTAACAAGTTGAGTCTTGGTAGGATCGAGATCTCGGCCAATGGTGACTTTTCTTCCGGACTCGAGCTCGACCTCGTCAATCTCTTCAACTGGGGCAAGCCTACCACGATGCTCGAGGTTAGGCTCGACCTCATAAAGTTGCATGACGTCAGCCTTGATTTCGCGAACACTGGTGACATAGCACTGTCTGGCTACTGATTGACTTCCCTGGACTACTCCAACCCCATTACCAGTAGGGAACTTCACTGCCAGGTGGAAAGTTGAGACAATCACCATGATTCGGTTCAGCAACGGCCTTCAAAGTATGGCGTTGTAGGCCATAGGGGTATGAACCACTTGGAATGTTGTGACATGCGTGACCTTATTCCCTTCGGACCCCAATGTGAGGGGTAGACCAACAATGCCTTCCGAAATAACTACGCCGCCTCTAAAACCCTGAAGGGGTTTTGACGGGCTTGAGCTGCTCCAATGATATACCCATCCGAACGGAAGCTTCATGTGACAGTACGTTAGCCATGCTTCCATTATCCACCAAAATTCTTTTTACTTCAAAATTAGCGATGATCATCGATATGACTAAGGCGTCATCATGAGGAAAAGACACGCCCTCTAGGTCCCTTGACCCGAAGGTGATGTCACCCACATTACCGAGATCCAAGGTTGAGATCGAGTGGTATTGTCGGCATATTGTTTACGCCCGCCGTTGGAGCCCCCTCCCGAGGCTGTTCCCCCGATGATGATATTAATAGTCCCTGCAGTAGGTTGTTTATCCCCATCCACAGGTTCTTTACCGCTATTCTGGATGTTCCGCTGGCGCTTCTCTTGACTGATGTACGTGCCTAGGAAATCTCTCTTGATGAGAGTCTCGATTTCACGCTTCAGAGCAAAACGTCCGTCGGTTGTGTGTCCATGATCCCTATGAAAGTCCCAGTACTTGCTCTTATCACGGGCTTTAGATGGACCCCGTAGTCTTGAAGGCCACTTTAACTCTTTAAGGTCCTTAATCTCCATCAAAATGTTAGACCTTGTTGTGTTCTGGCGAGTGAAGGGTACCGAAGGTGGGTCTTGCCTCAGTTTGCTTCGGACGAGGTCCAGGCGCTGGTTGGACTCAAGTGGCCTCTTAAGATCGGGCTTCTTTACGGGCAGGGCATCCCTCTTTGGAAACATGGACTCCTCCACGTTGATGTATTTCTCTGCTCAGGTTAGAAGGTGGGTTATCGACTTCGGAGGGGTCTTTGACAGTGACATCTTAAACGCTTCACATCTTACGACATAAGTTAGGGCGGAGACTACAGCTGTGATGTGTAGATCAGGGATCATAAGCCTTTCCCTATTGAACTTCGCCATGAAATTTCGAAAGGTTTCGCTGGGCCCCTGATGCATCTGCATGAACGACGCAACTGTCTTCCTGATGTGCTTGCTACTAGTAAAGAACGCGGAGAACTTATCCGCCAAGTCCGAGAATGAAGATACGGAGTGGGGTTCCAATGTGGAGAACCAATCTCGGGCTGCGTTAGTCAGTGTCTGAGGAAGGGCCTTGCACATAACAGCATCGGGCGCGACCTGCAAGTTCATGATATCCGTGTATATGTTCAAATGGTTGATGGGGTCAGTCGTCCCATCATACTCCTTCACCCGCGTGTATTTAAACCGATTCGGTAAGGGGTACGACAATACTTCAGGGGTAAAAGGCGTGTTAGGGGTGAACCCTGTCGCTGCCTGAAACTTCTGGAGCATCCCAGCCGTGGTTCCCTCTTGGATGATCCGTGCAAGATCAGCCGAGTCCATAGTAATTGATTGCGAACTTGCGGGGATATGTTGTGCATCTGAGGCTCTTGCTTCACTGTGACTTGGGCCAGGGGGTAAGTCATCGGCCATGAGATTACTCTGCGGAGAAGGTACTGTGGGCGTGGTTCTCTGATGTAGTAGTTGAGTAAGCATTGCTATCTACTGGCGAAGCTCCTCCAACTCTCCGGGAGGGGCTGTCGCAGGCGGGTGTCGTTGTTCTCTCAATGATATCTCTTGAGGACCCGGATGGTCTCCGACGAGGAGTTGGTTAGGAGCAGACGAACTTGCTGGGAGATGTCCTGAACGTGTGTTTACCATGGCTTTTTGGTAGCGAGTTCCTACATACAGCACCAATGATGCTACCAAAATTCATACCTGGGTAAATTCAAGTTGGATGAGAGAACTCCACGGAATTTGGTCTTCAATATTGAAACAAAGGCCACGAGGTGTGTTCTCGTCGCCCATCCGATGCTTAAGTCAGTTAAACTTCTTTAGAGGAATTTGTGTTAAATGATTGTATATATCACGTACCTCAATGATGAAGCTAGGTTGCATATTTATAGATGCTGTGGAGGAATCCTAGAACGACTGAACTTCCTGTAGTTTTAGTTATTTTGGACACTTGAGTTGCGTTGGGATTGCAGAGTTGGAGCTAGGGTAGAATTTGTAATGAATTAGAAGTTTATAAGTGAATGAGTTCTGACATTTATGGAAGGTACTTGTGAAGATAGATGAGGTACAAAGGCAATGGGCTGTGACGAAGAGCTTGGGTACGGACCCCGAGCTCGAGCTTGTCTCATGATCTTTTTTGGCCCAATTGAGAAGGCCCAAGATCGGGCCCAATAGGTCGAGCTCGGGTATGTTGGTCATCAATACTAATAATAATTTTCTTTATAGATTAAGTTTTAATAATAAACTTGTGTTGTTAATTTTATGATCAAGTAAAATTAATTAATTCACGATGATATCCAAAATTAAAAAAAAAAAAACATTGTATCCAAAATAAGTTGTAGTTAAGGGACTTAAATAATTTGTTTTAATAATTAACTATATTTTGCTTAAATAGATAAAATTCATGAATTTACTTTTTTTCAAAGAAATAACTACTTATATGAAAATATAACTTCACATTATTCAGTGCACTAATAAACATTATCTAAAATGTCGATAACATAATTTTTTTTATTATGATTATATTATTACAAAATCATACGTGTTCTTAATTAGTATCTTATAGATGTATCAAATTATAAATCAACTCATTAAATGTTCTCCTGCTCACAGTTGTAAGTCTTATTTTACCCACTTAAATAAAGTTGTATTTACCGTTCTTACATTTGGAGAAAATCGCAAGTAAGGTTCTCCTACCACATTAGTAAGTGAGCAGTCTTATTCTATTCACTGTAGCCAGGAGAACAATTTCGTTAAACATAGAAGAAGTATTATATTAAGTTAACGTCTATCTTTGAGAAGAATAAAAAACAAGTAAAGAAAGAAGAGTAAATTACATTATGTACAATAGTACAAAATTCTTGTTAGAACAAGTTACCACCTCTATTAACCAGTTATATCCTCCACTACTACTTCTCAGCCAAATCACAAAATGACCAAAAAAACCCACAAAAAATTCTCAAATTATAGCTAGTTCAAACCATAATCAAAAGGGTAAAAAAAGAAATGTGTCCTAATATCCTACAATTTCAAAACCAAAATATCTTTTTGTCAAACTTTGGAGCAAATTTTGTGGTTTTTTTTCAGGGTTCTTCTGGTTTTGACAGATGATTGGGACGAGGGAATTCTGATAACATTTGAATAACATCTCTCATGGTTGGCCTTTCAATGCTGTTTTCTTGAACGCAAAGCATGGCAACAAAGAACAAATGCATTGCTTCATTTTGAGGCACCATTTTTAACCTTTGATCAATTATATCAACAACTTGTTCTCTTTGACACTTCGTTGTTAGCTTGATCCACTGCACGATATCGACTCCTTCCCCAAAATCGCCCACTGGCCGTCGTCCTGTGATGAGTTCTAGAAGAACTACTCCAAAACTATAAACATCGCTCTTTTCATCTACTTTTAATGTGTATGCATATTCTGTGATTCACATACAAAAAACAAAAAGTTAGTCGCTATACTAAAATTAGTAATTAGCCCTAGTAAATTCAAGAAAATTAACAAATTCAAGCTGCGAAATTCACAAGTTTAAGAAAAATCAAGTTCAGACATACTATGTGCAACAATTTACCTGGAGCAATATACCCATAGGACCCTGCAATGGCGGACATGCACTCGGAGGCTCCACCATCTACCAAGAATTTGGCGAGCCCAAAATCGGCAACGTGAGCTTCGAAACTTGAATCCAGTAAAATATTGTTTGATTTCACATCTCGATGCACAATCAGTGGCGAGCAATCATGATGCAGATAGCACAATCCTTTCGCCGCATCCATGGCGATTTTGTACCTCAGATTCCAGCTGAGGAATTCCCCTTTCTTCCCGTGCAATGCCTCCCCTAAACTCCCATTTCTCATGTATTCGTATACGAGAAGATTTGTCTCCTTGTTAGTGCAAAATGCTAGCAATTTTACTATGTTTCTGTGTCTGATGTTGCCTAATGTTCGGATTTCAGCCCTAAAGCCGTGATCATGGCTGTTGCTGCCAAATCCCAGAAGTTTCTTGACAGCAAATTCGACCCCATTTGAAGTTTTGCCATGATAGACGATTCCGGCGCCTCCTCTTCCGATTACATTGCCATCTTTTATGCATTCAAGAACATCAGAGACTGTGAAATCTAGCTTTTGGAAGGCGGTGATTTTCCAGGAATTTGACGTGTTCTTCTTGAATAATTTAGCCTTGATTATAGCGGCAGTGACGAACACTAAACAGAATAAAAAGCCGAAGAAAAAGGTCAGCTTGAATGCACTGTGGGATTTTCTTTGTGGGCTTGTAACTGCGGTGGCATTGCAGGGGTTGCTGATTGTGGATCCACAAAGTTGGGGATTTCCAGCAAATGAAGAAGCATTGAAGAGTGAGAACTGACCGGATTCTGGTAGCTTACCAGAGAGATCATTGAAAGAAAAATCAGCTGTTGTGAGACTTGCCATTGAACCAATTGATGGGGGTATGTTTCCATTCAAGTGGTTTCTTGATAGGTTTAGGTAATTCAAGACTCGAATATTTGATATTTCTCGTGGGATTGAGCCAGACAAGTTGTTGTTGCTCAAGTCCAAATAAGTTAGATGGACACAGTTACCTATTTCAGGTGGAATTTCTCCGACAAAAGAATTCCCACTTAGAGATATCTTTAGAGCTTGGTGTAGTTCACCCATGGAAGAAGGGATTGGGCCGGAAAAATTGTTTCCATTAAGTGAAAGGATTTGGAGGGAAGATAAATTGGAAAGAGAGAAAGGCAAGGATCCAGAAAGTTGATTGTTTGATAGATTCATTTGGCTCAACTTATTTGGCCTAGAAGATGAATTACCATTTTCAGACAAAGATCCAGACAGCATATTGTTCTGCAGTTCAACATAATTCAGCCGGGGTAAGTAAATGAAGCCGGTTGGAATGCTTCCATTCAAGTAGTTTTGCCCTAGCCTCACCCTAACAAGACTCGAACACATGCCCAACTCCCGTGGTAGCGAACCAAATAGAAAGTTTTTTTGGAGAATCAGTATTCTCAGCCGTTTTAAGGCACACAAGTCTTTGGGGATTGTACCAGTCAGCTTGTTGGAAGACAAATCGAGGTCCTTAATCGCCTGGTTTTGTCCAAGATTCCTCGGGATAGTGCCTGTGAAATTGTTATTCCAGAGTCCAAGAACTTCAAGATTTGGATAATCAGCTATGTAACTCGGTATGGATCCATGCAATCTGTTCGAAAACAGTTTGAGAAGCTTGATCTGTCTGAGGTTGACAAGCTCATATGGGACTTCCCCAGTGAATGCATTGAAAGAAAGATCGAGTCTCTTTAGGCTTGTTAAGTTTCCTAATTGCTTTGGTATGGGACCTGAGAGGCGATTGATGTACAAAAACAATGTATCAAGTGACTTCAAATTCCCCAACTCAGGAGGGATTGAACCAACCAATCCACAGGTTGAAAGATCCATGATTACTAGATTCATCAACTTGCCAAACTCTCTTGGGATACCTCCCTCGAAAACATTGATATGGCCCAAGTAAATTTGTCTCAAGTTAGTGAGATTACCCAATTCCCGAGGTATCTTTCCTCGAAGATCATTTCCTTCAAGAGACAGGTATTCCAAACCAGTCAAATCTCCGTATCTTTCTGGAATTTTGCCGTAGAAATAGTTTCCTCCCATATCCAAGTGCTTGATATTCTTCAGAGCTAGTATCCCCAGAGGAAGGTAAGAAGAGAAATTGTTGTTATATGCATCAAGCACTTCCAAATTAGCAAGGCTCGAGTAATTCCACTCCAAACTCCCACTAAATTGGTTGTTTGATATGTTAAGAAACCGGAGACTGCTCATATTCTCGATCTTGATTTCACCAGTGAAGTTGTTTCCATCAATAAAGAGCTCCATCAGCTTATCAAGTCTTGAAATTGCTGGTGAAACAGAGCCATAGAGATTCATATTCGATATATTAAGGGAGACTATTCGTCCATTGAAGCATTTGATTCCACTCCATGAACAAACCGAGGTTGGATTGGAAGAATTCCAAGTGCTTATTTCCAGATTAGAGAACTCGAAACCTTGTTTAAGTGCAATTAATGCATGAAAGTCAGAAATGATAGTGGAAGAAACAGAAGTGCCCACAAGTGAGAAGAGTGTAATTGCTACAAAAATGAAGGAAACCATATTGTCTTCGAAATATTTCAGGAAAAGCTAAATTGGGAAGGACTTAGAGAACATATAAATGATTTTAAGAGGCTGGCCAGCAATAGATTTCGGTTAAAGGAAAAAAAGCGAGGGAATCCAAGAAATTTCAAGTGTGTTTTGGTCTAAAAATTTTGAAGGAAAGAGTCTTCAAGTTCAAAGAAGAAGTTAAGTCTCCCCTTTTCTCCCCTTTGCTTTCCCTTTTGCTTTCATGGCAAGAGAGATTAATATGATCAAATTTCGGGTAAAACTGGTTTTACATTGAGCTATAAGGATATTAATATCTATGATGAACTTAAGAAAAGCAGGACAGCACAAGAGAAATTAAGAAAGCTTCAGTGAATTGAAAATCAACCGTTGGATAGGATAAATGTAAAGTTTAGATCATGGGAAAGAGAAAGGCTTATCCTCTTTTCCTTTTCTTCTCCTTCTTTATTCATATGGCAAAAATACCCTTTTAACTTTAGTCAAAGGATTGCCTTTACTTTGAGACTGATTGAGAGATGATGAAATTTCACCTTCATCAATGAAAATGGCTGCATTCGCTTCACATTGCTCATATATGATTTTAATTTCCTACAGTTAAGTAATTCACTAAAGATAAAAGCTAACATGGTGTGTAAAATGTGTGATGTTGAAGGATTTATGTAATCGATACCAATTTTTTGAAAATAATGCTTAGTTTGTTGTTGCTGTATTTAATTAAAATGTGGTGTAAAGTAATCAATGCCTGGCGCTATTTCAAAGATTCTTGTATCATTGCCCCCAAAGACTGATAATGACAATAGAACTGTAAGGGGTGGCAGTGTGGGATTCAGCATGTGTTTGTTATTTTTCACTGCAATGCATCAAAACCAAAGTGATACCACTTGAGAATTACTTGTGGTAGGTCCATAGCTTGTTTTATGGTAGAAAATCTAGTGCATTCAATGACTTTGCAAGTTAAAAGATGAAACACTCCCCTATTCGGTCGAATTTCTCAGTTTTTTGCATGTAGGATCTGACAGAACTGTTTTTTTTACCATCTCGGAGAAATGAGCAGTAGAATTCTTGTCACTAGATTTAACGAAGTTTTAGATTAGTCGTCAACCTAGAGCAACTCTCATTCTTTACGCTATCTTGGTGCACTTGTATGAACGGTGCACATGGAATTTGAAGACAGAAATTGTGTACTTTGATGTGTAATACACAGAAGACTAGATTTTGTTATTTGAGTTGCAATTCCCAGCGTAAAGACTAAAGAGTTGGGGACATGTGCCTGCAGTAACAGTAGATGAACAAGTAAAAGATGATTATTAATATATCATTACTTTGTTTTTTAAGAATGATGAATATATAATTATGTTGTGTATATAGGTTGCATGGAAGATACAAACCAGTGAAGCTTTTCTTTTTTTGCTTTGTGCTTTATTCCTTCTCTCAGCATTTGGCTTATAGGAATGGGACCAACTCTGAATGTAATGTGCTTTATTAGAAGATGGAATAGTCCTACATAAAGAGAGTGTTGATAAAGTAAAAGCAAAGATAAGTGATCTTTGCTTTTGATATTCCACTTCAAAAGAAAGCAAAAGATAAATACATGACCACACCTACCCTACCCCACCCCAACCCCATCACATGGAAAAGAGTGCTCTTGTATGGTTTGAAAACACTTTTGCATAACCCTCTTTGTTAAAAGAGAGAAAATGCTTGACCCCCCATGCATAGGAAAGAGTGCTCTTGTACTATTCATTCAGATTACAGTCTCAATGGTTTGGAATGGCGTCGATGATTGTGTCATGATGAATCATCTCATTCAAAAGCACAATATGTGGAAAAATGAAGACTTGAGCACATCCCATTATGTAGAATTCGTTTGCATTACCAGCAATTCACTACGTGGACAATTTTTGTGAGGGGATGACGTCTATGTGCATGTGTGATCCCCTCTAGAGGAATTTTAGTGATAGGTTCTATATAAACTAGACGGTCCTATTTGATTAAATATCTAACGACAAATTCCTATATTACTTTCATCACAGTATTTCAAAGGGCCAGCTATTTCATAATGGGGGCAAGAGCTGCATTTTTGAGATGTCTCCGTATCTAATGGATGATTAGATCTACTATGTCAAGGGTTACGCGGTGGGGGTATGTTCCAATATGAAGTTCTCTCCAATCTAAGGTCAAATTTATTTAGCCCCTCCCCTGTTTGGTGTAGATTAAAGTTGACAAAAATCTCAAATGATAAGAACCAACAATTAATTTCAACTGTACATTTTATCAAAATTTACTAAAAATATGATTTAATCAACACCAAACGAGGGCTTACAAAAATTATGCATTCTTGAATGATAAGAATAACCAAAATAAGGGATTTATTTCATCTGCAGAGCAGTCTTGGCTTCCCTTTCCCTCGTCTTTATCCTTTTGTATTCAGTTTGCGAGAAAAAATAGAAAATGCTTTATTATTGTTTTCATATATAAACGTATTTCAATTGGTCAATGATTGATTTTCTATTCTAAATAGTGTTTGGTTATACATTCACTTGACGAAGTTTGGAGTCTTTTTTTTTTTTTTCTCTTCAAATTTGGGCTCATCTACCGGGTTCCGTTGTTCTTTGCTTATGATTATGTACATTAGAAAAATTTTAATTTGGATAGTCAAAAGAAAATAGAATAAAAAGGTTGAAGAATTGATTAAATCTCAATAGGGAGCACTTGATAAGTTTTTAGTAGCAGTAAACAAACACAAAGATGTATTTATTGAAGAGTTTAATGATAATGATAGCAAGGATAATGCAATTGAAAAATAACCGCGTTTGGTGAATGAAGATATATCTATTGAAGACGATATTATAGATGATGAAAGCATGAATGAAATGGTAAATGAACTATTTTTCCTTGATATTATTGATCTAGGAAATTGGAGAAATATGAATCAGACCTTAAGAGACGTAATTGTAATTAGTGAAAGTTCATGTAAGGGACAATGATATGATTTTTTCCAAAGATGTAACAAAGCAACAATTCTCCTTTGTACGTTAAGTATGATTATCCAATAGATCGAGAGAAGCATGACGGAAAATAGTTGAAATATTCAAAAAGTTCAAATTAAATATTTTGCTTTTCTTTTTTTGGTAAACTATTCTAGAATGATGAGATTGGAATTCAATTGACACATGACGGATTGAAGAAAAGCGAAAAACTTAAAACACATGAACCTAGTTGTAACCACATCACTAACATGAGTAGATAGATTGAAAGGACAATTGATAAAAGAGTAAAAGAACAAATTAATAGAGATAGAGAATATTGGAGGTAATTATTATTGAAAATAATATATGTAGCAAGAATTCTTGCTGAGAATAATTTAGGATTTCAGGGAGATTGTTAAGTTTTCAATGTTTTGTAATTGGCGATTCTGAAAACAAAATGACTGAATTGTACTGTGTTTAAAAAGTCAAGGAGTAATGTGCAAATAGTTGAACATATGATTATTAGGTCTAGGGTTCGAGAATGACAAAAAGAGAAAAACGGCTAGGATTTTCGCTAGACTGTCGCTAAGGCTTGGCTTGAGTTACAAAAGCAGAAACATTGCTGCTAGACTGTCATCCTCACTTCGCTCGAGCGACAGTATGTCGCCGAGCCCTTGCTCGAACGACAGGTTTATTCGAAAAAAATTTATTTCGTGATTTAAAAGCTTTTTCCCTGGCCCATTTGTTTTTCTAACCTACCTATATATACCAAAACACTTTTGTACAAAAATTTATGAGGTTGAACATTGAGAGAGCTACATCCGTGAGAGATTGATTCGATTCATTCTTTCAACATTCATCTACTTTGATTATTTTGGTGAGAAAAATATTGTTTCTATAATTCAAATACCAAATTGCATTTCCTCTACATCTAGTCAGAGTTCTAAGGATCGAGAAAGTTTGGTTGGAGTTCCAGTCTGTGAAGAACGCAGTGTTTTTCGTTGATCCACGGGAAATAGACGATTCCACAAGGTTAGGAGTGCTGCAGGGTAGCAGATTTCACGGAGAGTTTTGGCAACATCAGCTAAGGATTGGTGCAGGGGAGCACATGATCCAAAGAGAGTTGTAAGGAGTGCAGTTAAGAGATCAGATAGTACGGGTCGTCTAGTCTGATAGACTGTAAGTTATTCAAATCGTTTATAGTGAATTGTTGACTGACAAAGTACCTAGAGTTTTTTCCAATTGGGTTTCTCCGTGATCATAACGTATGTTGATTTACTGCTTTATTTATTGTTTAGATAATTTGCGGTATTCAAATATAGGATTAAACTGACATGATTGTTTAACCATATAGAGATAACTATTGGTGACTTGTTTCTAATTTGTTACAATATTTTTAATTCAGCATAATATA